AAACTAGTTTGTTGAACTATATTCCTAAAGATGAACAGTAAGTTCAAAAACTCTAGAATGTTTTTTGACGTTTCTTGTTCCATTAAAGTATTTTTTAATCCTTTTAACATATTTTTGTGAAAAATGAAAAATTCTCTGAAGAAAGATTGTAAATGTTATATGTTCTGAATGTGTTTTGCTTCACTTTATTTTTTCAGATTTTTAAAATATACAGGTACATGACTGAATTTCTATCAACTGATAGTCTGATACCTCTAATCTGGACAAAATTATGAGAGAAAACTTGAATTCCCTCAGTCATCAAACTAGTTTTTTGAATGGCCACAGATGGTGTTGTTTGTAGGATGCATTTATTTACATTATTTACACTGAACCTGTTGGTAGTGATACTGCAATTTTGTGGTATTAGTTTGTTTTGCTTAAATTTAACCCAGCTATGATTTCTGAGAGATGAATGTCAATGGTGGTGTCAAATGTAATTTACATTTAATATTTATTTAAGTTTCTGGCAGTCTATGGTATACTTCAGACACAGGGAAAATGTATAATTAGTTGGATAGAAGTAAGTTGATAAATTAGTATTATTATACATGACCATGGTTGGTCTCGAAAAATGGTTAATTAATATGGCAAGCTTTGGAACCAAGGGTACTGGAAATTTGCAGGTGTCTTAGTCTTAGTTTTAGGTCTTCCTGTGCCAAGTGGAATGCTAGGCAGCCAGTTGTCTCCAGCAAATGTAGTCAGCTGCAATGGTTTCAGTATTGTCTCATGGAATGCTAATCTTCTATAGAACTTCTTTATGTGTAGAGTGCCAGATTGTTCATGGTCTATCTTGTTTCCTTTTTCCACCATGTTATTTCCATTGCAAGGCTACTTTTGATAAGTGTTCCTCTAGCAGATGAAGTACATGCCCTGCAAAATGCATTTTATGCTTTGTAACAATATCCTGTACTTAATGTAGGTCACTTCTTCTAAGGTCCTCATTTGTGATATGGTTACGATATGTAATTCTAAATATTCTTTGAGGAGAGCATTGATGGAATACATTGAGTTTCTGAATAATCTTTGTCTCTTTCTGTGTTTCACAGGAATAGATTGCAGTTGGAATGACAATGGTGTTATAGAGTTGCTGTACTGATTACTCATGTTGACCAGATTGAGCATATTCTCTGAAAGACAGCTGATGCTTTACTATGTCAGCATTTTATATCAACTTCTATGTCTACTTTCCCTTTAAGTTTAGAAGTAGCAGCATACTCTTGCAGGCTAAAATGCTTCAGTATCATATCCTGAAACAGTGTACATCTGCATTTACCTCCTGATCCAGTTTTTCTTTCAATGTTGCCATTAGTGATGTGCCAGGTATCCATATCCGCGGATATCCGAGGGAAAAAAAGATCCTTATCTGTTACTTTTTAGCAGATCTTTAACGGATCTTTTCTCTTAATGAATTTCATTACTTATGAAATTTTAAAGATAGTTAGCAGTAAAATATTAATAACTTCAATTCAAATCACTTTTTATTTTTTAAAATCACATATTTGGCACATTCATATTGCAAAAATTTTATCATGCAAAATTCATTTACTATCATAAAGTATTTCCATATTACACTACTAAACTTTTTTGTCGACATTGTTTTTATTTTAATTTAACTCAACACTCTCCAAAAACACAAACATAATCTATGCTATCCCGTGCCACATTAAACTATAAACAAAAACATGCCTAGTGCAAGTCGAAACATTTCGCGTTACTAACGTAAAGTGTCAACTATCAGTCTAAGGTCACATGCACCGGTGCCAACTGAGTACGAAAGTTGAGATCCGTATCTGTATCCATGGATCTAGACACTAATGATCCGTATCTGTATCCGCAGATCTAGACACTAATGATCTGTATCTGTATCCGTATCCGCAGGTATACATTTTTAATGATCCAGCACATAACTAGTTGCCATGTTCATGTCTCCTTAGTAACAATTGTTGATTTATGACAATGCAGACTCTGAGCTTATTCATAAGAGGATAAACCCTCAGTATTCAAGTTATGGATTTTTTTACATGTTTTTAACTGTCAAACATTTTTGTTTCATTTGTGAAAGACTTTACACAAATTTTTGTTAATGGAATATACAGTCATTGGAAATAATATTGCAGTAGACTTTGCCAGCCATTGAAAACCATTTTCATGTTTATGAAATCATTGATAATTTAATCTTTAAAATTTCTTGCAAAATGATACTTCAAAAAATTGAAAGCATTTTTACAACATTTTGAGTGGGGCATTTTTCTATTTGTATATTTGAATAGGAAATGATGAATAAACAGAGTATAGTATAGAATACTTATATAACAAACAAACTGGATAAATATACTATTAATAAAACACACCTTTAATAATCCTTTAATAATTCTTAATTTTTATTAGCTGGATTATTAAAGGTGTGTTTTATTTATAGTATAGAATATATTTAGAGAGTATAAAATATATTTTGGAAGCATTTTCTATATATTTCAGGAAATATTTAGCTGACATTGAAAAATAAATTATTTCAAAATTATTTCTGACACTTAAATAAAATATTTTGATTTGATTTTAAAGTTACTTATTTGAAAATAAGATTATTATTGGGTACAGTATTGTTATTAAAGTCAAATATTGTTTGGCTCTAATATAACTGTTGGGCTTTGAGATGTTTATATTTGTATACTGTTACTAATTTTGATGAGAGAAAATCATACCTCGTAAGTACTTGTATGAAAATCATCAGAAAAAAGTTGTGGCTCTCTTTCAAGAAATGTTGCATTTACAATGCTTTAAACTGCACTGAAGATGATTATATGTGGGGAAAATGTAAACACTGAATTTATTGTTTTTTACAACTGTTTTAAATCACTCTGTATAATATACTTTACTGTACAATAAATTTGTCTTGATCTGTCTATTTTTTCAAAAAACAAAACTCTATGGGTGAGTATTTAGAAAATAAGGCAAGTATTAGATTCAATGGCATCTTATCTTCCAGTAAATAGGGTACATTTGACATTCAAAAGTTAAAATTTAAATGGAATATTTTATTTGTAGAACATTTTCTAAAAACAGATTTATAACCTGATAATGGCCTTTGGGCATAGGCTGAAAATTTTTATTAATAAAAAAAAAATTCTATCAGCAAATGCACAGGTGTTGTAATAAGTTTGTAATTTATCTCTGCTGATACTTTCAGACTGTATTTTCTGAAAGTTTCATCATTAATGAAAGTAATAACAATCAAACTAATGAATCATTATGATTCATTAAATTTATGAAATCTATTTTTGAAAATGTGTCAAGTGAATAAATAAAATGTTTTTGTTGAAAAGTTTTAACACTTAATTTTAGTTTATTGATAGGCTGAATTTCTTATATTTATCTGAAACTATTATTGGTTTCTTTTGTAATAGATTTAAAAGTACATTTATATGTTTATTGTAATGATATTTTGAATATGAAATATATAATTGATGTACACACACTCAGCAATAGTATATAAATCAAAAAACAAAACACCTTAATTTGCTGAGAAAAAATTTAATGTAAAGCTAACGTTTTCAGCCAAATCAGTTGGCCATCGTCAGGCTAAGAACATTCGAATATAAATAAAATAGAACAAAAATTTAAATACAAATAAAATAAAATAACGAGCGAAATATATATATAAATGTATACAGACTAATAAAATAAATAAAAATTATTGTTACAAATNTATATATATATATAACAATAAAAATATTTGTTAAGGTGAGTATTAGATTTAATGGCATCTTATATTCCAGTAAATTGGATACATTTGACATTCAAAAGTTAAAATTTAAATATATATAGATGGTCCATATATCTTGACCATATATATACTGTATATATATATGGTCAAGTCCACTTAAAAGAGACCAGAAGGAAACAGTTCACTTCAGAGAGCACTTTCCCATACATTCCTGAATTTCTCCTCTATGTTTTACATTAATGGAACTCCTGTTAAAAGTTCTTAGAAATCTGTTCCCTTCTAAACTGTTCTAGAAAGTTCTGTATCTAACCAGAACAGGTTAGAAGGGAAGTTTGTTTAAACAAGTGCCATTTTTAGAGTAGCAGTCTGCATAAGGGAGCATTATTCTGAGGAAGATTTATAAGGATCTGTCTTTAATCTCACAATATATAGGTACAGGACTCTCTACAGTATGCTATTTGTTGAGATTTGGTGAAACCTTCCATTGGCCAGTTTTCTAATAAACAATTTCCTACAGAATCATAATGAATAGATTTTATTGGACACACATCAGCAGTAATTACATATTAAAAAGATATCATAGCATATACATCAGCAATAGCATAGATCACAATGTTTCATCTTGAGGGGACAAGCCAAGTAATGATTAGCAATCAGATTATAGAGGTCATATGACTTTAAGATGGTACAGTACTTATTTGTTTTACTGTATGTTCTATTAGGGAAAATTTGGAGTTAATAAAAAAAAATGTAGGAGTTGAAATTTGGAAATTTTAGAGCATTGATTTTCACATCTTTTCAGTTAGGCTTTTAACTGTGTTTCTGGAAATAAGTGAAAGTAATGTGACTGGTAAATGTGCTTTGTTTACTGATTATTTGAAAGAACAATTAAACTGATGATATAAGGATGGAAACCAGTAGGTAGGTAAAGTAAAATTATGTGATAATGAATTTTAATGTTTCTAATTCTTATTATAAGTTACATAGAGCTTGTAAGACATGAAAAACAGTGGAGCAAATTTAATACCAATAACAGCCCTCTGGGAGATTTCATTACTTCAGATAAGGGAGCATAATGTATGATCCCAAGAGTGCTCTCTTAAACAGACTTATTTGTATATATTTTCCTTTTGTATTATATTATGTAAAATAAATTACATACCAGTATTAGTTTTAATTTTTAAAGTAAATTTGAATTGCAGTTTCATTAAATATAAACTTTGAATGTTTCCAGATGATCCACCTCCAAAACCAAAACCTCCACCAATTGATGTAAGTATTTTATACAGTTGTTTACAATAATTATTAAGTATTAATTTGTATGTTGATTTTGTTTACTAACAAAAATTTAATTTCTAATTCATAATAACTTATTTAAATGATAAGTAAATAGTTTTTAGATAATTAAATCAGAGATATATAAAGGTGTTTTTGTTGTAATGACTCACAAAATCAAATGATTTGATGTAGTAGTAATTAATTTATTGTTTTATGAATTCCACATTTTCTACAAGAATGTCTTAGACTTGAATTTGACTGTTGTTATGTCAAAAAACAGTCTGTTGAAAATATTACATTAGCTAAATAAAATTTTGTGATATTTTTAGATAAAAATTGAGATATTTATTAAAAACAGACATTTTATTTTGAAAATGGTACAGTTTAAATTTTTCCATCAAGATCATATATTTATAAGTTTTGCACGATATAATATTCTTCTTACAGTAGAGAAATGCCTTTTTTACTGTGATTTCTCTACTGTAACATTCCTGGCATGAGGTTAAGTTATTTTATCAATATGCTTCTTCCTTCTCAAATTATGGTAATCCATTTTCCTTAATATTGTTCAATGGTACTTTACTTAACAGATCTGCTATAAGATTACCAATTAATACTCTTTGTTATATGTAACTAACTTTCTTTTTAATAAGGTATTACATTAGTGCTCTGAACATGTAACAGAAACTAAAATTTTTTAAAGTTCTAATTTTCAAAATTGTTGGAAAAATAGTAGCTCTTGTATTGAACAGAAAACGTACTCGGCAAATTAATAATCAAAATAATCAACACCTAATCCGTTGCCGAGGGAGTTTATTTAAAAAATGAACGTTTTCGATCTACTTCATAGATCATCTTCAAGTTGAAAAAAACAAATATGGAATAACTACAAAGAATAGAACATTAAATTTAAAATTCAGAAATATTGACAACTGAGTAATTAAGTAAAATAATTAAAGTGTAAAAATACCAATTGTAAAAATAAATAACATACAACAATAAATAAGTAATAGTACAAGTCGTTAACAGTTAACAAAAATTATAAATGCTCTCATAATGTGAATTGCGAATCAAGTCGTCATTCATAAGCCATTTGTAAGTCTTTTAATAGCAAACTTCCATGCTGAGGGTAGGCCCTCTGTATCTCTGGCGTTTATACATTTATCATCAAGTTTGCTTCTGTATATTTCCATTTTTTCGGCTGTCTTCGCTAAAGTTGGAGAGTGTATTTACCTAATGATTTCAGCTTCTTCCCATCCAACTACAGAACCTTGGGCCTGAGCCATCTGGGCCAGCACAGTTGCGTTTGATTTTTTCCTAACATCATATTTATGCTCTCTGACCCTTACCCCCAATTTCCTCGTTGTAACTCCTATGTACTCCTTTACTAATCCTAATTGTTGGTTCTCGTATGGGATCTTATAAACTCCTTCTTTATCTTCTTTTTTAATATCCCCTTTATCGTTTCTTAGAATTTTTTAAATAAATTAGGAGCTCGTTCTAATTTATTCTAAGAAACAATAAAGGGGATATTCTAAGAAATGATAAAGGGCTTTGCTATCTTCAGCTCTGGAAAAGTTATTTAAGTTTAAAAGAAATATTGTACTCTGAATGTCTTAAGAAAATACCAAAAATAATTGTGTACATAAATATAAAAAAACCAAGCTTGAATTATAGTAATAATCAAGTGATTGAGTCAGATGAGTTTCAGGTTAGCTACATAGGTATTTCAGACTAAAGGTAAGCAGTTATATGCTGCCATTTTGTATTAAATTTAATAATTATTAATTTCAAAAATAAATTAATTTGGACTATTTTGAAATAAAAAATTGATCTAAAGCAGAACTCAAATTTGCAACTTCTGCTTACTGCAATGATATAACTGTTTATCTTTAATCCATATTACATAATATCTGTGTAATTGATTAGTCATGTTCTAGTCTGATAGTTAATCTGGCTCTGTCATTTGATTATTAATCACATGTGTATTATAACTTTCTTTTTCTTTATAACTCAAACTGAATTCCTTGAGTGACTGGCTGACACTTTTACTGTTTCAACCATCTGACTATCAGCATATTATAACTTTTTATTTGAGAGGGTGTGTACATAATGAAAGAGTATCTACGATAGGTTTGGTTTATTTGGTTAAGGAAATGTGAATACAAAGCCAAATGATCACCTTAAATACTCAGGCTATAAATCTGCTAATTTTAATAAATAATACTAAATAATTTGCTACTACAGGTAGATGTTAGGTGCCATCTCTTCTCTAAATTAATAATTAAAATTTATTAAATTATTTAGAATCATCTGGAAGAAAAGAACTGGCCTGTGGCGAGGCAGTTCTTCTAGATGAGCAGATTTATAGCCAAAGTATTTAAGGTGATCGTTTGACTTTGTATATATATATATATAATGGGCTTCAGGTTGTTTAATACATTTAAAGAAATGTGACATATGGGCAATCTGCCAAGGGGAATGCTTCCTGGGAGGACTTTCTATGGGAAACTAAACTGGTCTCTATTTAGGTGTTACAAACATTAAGAAAAACTGGAAAATTTCCATTGTCATGGCACAAACCCATAACCAACTACCAGTGTTTGATGGTTCCACTGGTGGATGCATATTTATAGGTAGTTTTAGATGGATAAATTATATAAACTATTAAAATGAAACTAGGATGTTTTTATTAGAAAATAATGTATTATACTACAAAAGATATGCAGACAAAATTTTAATGATAATATCTTGTAAGATATTCTATGTACAGAAAAATATGGCATAATCATGTTATAAGAAATATATTCATAAAAATTGTTAATACAGTAAAATATGATGCTAATCCTTTGTCTGTTAAAAAAATATCCTAAAATGTATAAGTTAAAATATACTTTTATAAAAACATGCATGTTTCGTAATCAGTTGTGATTATAGTTATCAGTATCTTCTTTAAATAATTAAATATTTATTGTTTTTGTTTTAATCATAACTCATATGTAGAAAACAGTAGTTTAAATTGCTGGTTATTTTTGCTTCACTTGTATGCAAGCTGCTTTTTAGGATAGTGCTGCAAAAATAAACAGAAGGCAAACAACACTGAATGAATTACTACTTAATAAAAATAATTACAATTACTAAATCTTTATTATACATATTGCAAAGGGAAAACGATGCTTTATAACTTTTTTTAGGAGATTTTGTGAATTAAATTAGTAAGTTAACATCTTAATTTATAAGTTGGAAAGTAAAAGGAACTTCATTATATAGTTTTAATTACTTTAACATTTCCTTTTAATTAATGTCAGAATCAATAAACCAGAATTTCTACTAATTATAGCTTTATTTATTTACCTTACTTAATATCAGTTATCATCATCAGTATAGGTGAATCCTAGTGATTACAATAAGCAGATTCTACTATATATAAAGATTGAAGAGATTGATCGAAGTTAAGATTCTTTTACTGAAATTGAAATCTGTATTGTAAGCTTAGTCATCAAATCAAAGAAAAATCTTAGGAATAAATTTCCTAACTTCCTTACACAATGTTTTATTAGAAGCATTTATAATTTACTGTTGGAATGTAACAAAATACAAAAATTCAGAAAATAAATTTACACCTTAGAAATTAATTTCAACAAAAAGTTTAATGAAACAAAAACATTTTCAACCTAATTTGAAAGGTATTCATCAATTGAGTACTCCAAAATAGAACATATTTGAAAAAAAAGAACATTCACTAAATACCAGTAAAATAAAACAAAATAGAAAATTTAAATATAGCAGAAATAAGATAAATATAAATTAACAAAAATAATTTAAAAAATTAACTTTGCTTATAGTGCTATTCTCCAATGGAAATAAACACAACAATTAACACCTAAATGCTAATTCTAGCACTGAATGAATAAAATTTTAATGCTCAAACATTTTCAGCCATCTTTTAGAGGCCCTCCTCAGGATGAAACACAAAAAAAAAAAAAAAACCAGTTCTATCATTTAAAAACAGTTCTATCATGGAAATAGCCTTCCTCTTACAACAATCATAAGGGGAAGGATACCAAGGACATTTCTATTTATTTTATGTTTGTATGAAATTTGGTTAAAGCAAAATAACGTGGTTGTCATTAGAGCAGACAAATCCAAGAAAAGTGGTTAAACATTGGTTAAACATGCCATCTACAATGAAAGGTTGCAGGAATATATCACTAGTATGGAATGTCATATTTTTACTTCCAAATTCTTGAACACCTTACAGCAAAGTGTGAAAAGATTAGTCACCATCCTTTTGACATGTCATCTTCAAATGCAACAAATGGTCATTTTCATACCTAAAGAGTCAGTATCTTTGCCATTGCAAAGATGTACAAGCCTGGATCTCAATCTGGTTATAGAGAACTGTTCTTCACCCAAATTCTTATTGGAGAAACAGCTTGTTAAGTTTTATAGCAGTGAAATCACACATTATCCATTCACTGTTAACAATTTATTACAATTATTGGAATGTCTCAACAACATTACATTGCTGGATAAAGTATATGTGACCATATTGGACTTTCAAACTCACTACCCATTTATTAAACTGTCACCTAGTTTTTGTGAGATCAGGGACTTCCTTCAGACCAATGTGGAGAATGCCTGCAAATATCATCAAGGTATTTTAGAGCTTGCTCACCTTATTTTTTACTCTCCCCTTTCAGTTACAAGAACAAGATCTTCATACAAGGCAGGGGTATGGGGAATCCCATCTCTGGATTACTGCGTGAACTCATCATTCAACTTTTTCAAGATATCAACAACATATCTCACATAGATCAGAATAATATGTTGCTTTTATGATAAAATCAGAATTCCAACATCTTATTCTGATCTGTGTGAGATATGTCAACAATATCTTTATCTTATGGTGCAAGAAACTTGACCTGCAACTATTTCTCCAAAGGATTAATTCCAATCCCTATGGTCTTCTACTATAATTGGAACAAGAAAGC